TACGTTAGTATCGTTGCCGACATGAAAGTCAACGCAAACATCATCCTTCATCGAGAAATACTCGTTGCAGGATTTTTCCGCCTTTATCTCGCTATCGCCGACAATCACAGTGGTGATGTCTTCGTTGTCTTCCGATACAAAAAACTTGAATCTCAGGGGCAAGCTCACGCTGACCATCGTGCTCTCGACATCGGTGTCGGGAGGATCGTCGGTCGCTTCAAAGAAAGCTTCGATTCTCTCCTTACTCTTGTAACAAGGAGTCTCGGAGTCCGGTTGTTCCACGTTTTCACGATCATCGTTCAACTGAACATGGAAAACGGTGCTGTTGGTCGCCAGATCCGGTCGCTGATCGTGTTGCTCCGAGTGATGTTCGCCGGTGCTCTTACTGGAATAAGAGTCAAGATCGTTTCGATCAATGGTTGAATTCTCATCGTTACATATCTCGCTCGCAATGTATGCAATATCTTGCTGACACGATGTTGCACGAGAGTTTACACGATCGTTCGAGTAATTGATATGCTCCTTATTGAAACGTATCTCCTCGGTGTGATTACGATTTTCGGAAAAATCTCGCGAGCATCCATGTAGATTATTAGCGCTAGGATATGTCGAACATGCAGCTGTGATGTCGGTGCGATCCTCGTTCAAAGAGAAATCGCACGGATCTTTCTCCAATTTCCCGTAAGGGTTCATGCTTGTGGAATAAGCTATATACGAATCCGAATCACTATCGGATGACGTATTATTGAAAGTAGTATCGTTGCTAAGGCTATGATTCTTCTGACAAGAATGCGAAAGTTGTTCGTTGTCCGAGGTAGAATCATTAGAGTCACTGGAATCGTTAGAATCGCTAGAAGCACCAGAATCGCTAGTATCTATATAGGTGTAATTTGGCACGTTGATATAAGGACCAAATGTTTTTTTTCCCGGCATTTCGATATTATTAGTAACTGCAATGTTGTTGGAATTATCCGTCGATATGCTATCCTCCTCGATTATATTCATCGCCGTGGTTATGCAATTTTTTTCTCTATTAGTATTGGAGTTTTCGCTGACACTCTTGGGATTATACGTGTCATTCGACTGTGCATCCAAATGGTTAATCTTGTGATTAATCTTGGGCAAAACAGTGTTTTTTGATTCATTAACCGTGCTGTTTGGCATAAAATCTAGTCTATTGTTTTGAGCGAAAAATGAATCGGCAGTGGTAAAACGATCGTCGATATAATTGCATTTGTTTTCATCAACGTGCGATGCAGATTGAATATCGTTGTAGCCTGCTTGAGGATAAATTACGGCCGTGTAACCAGCGTATTGGCCTGAAGAATTTTCTCGGCCCATAACTCTCATTTGTGTCATCGCATCCGCAAAGTTTTCATTATAAACCGGATAAAAGGATCCAACGTACGTTCTTCCATTCGGATATGCGTAAAAAGGAAAAGAATGTCTGTCCGTTTCATTCGCGATCTTATTGGATACAGCATTATACTGCACGGGATAATAACCCCACCAACCCTCGGGATACCAGAAAGGAATAGGTTGAAGAGGAAGAAATACACCCTGCTGATTGCCCGGCAAGTTATTCTCTGTTCGGCAGGTGTAATCTGCTTGACGATTTTCTTGCGTGGCTACAACAAACAGCACAAGGCACATTCAAAGTTAAATTCTTCACACATCGAGCGTAAGACAGCCGTCGTGCGTGTCGTCTTTATTTGGACATCTGAGATTTTCTTCTTTCTATCGCACATTGTTTTGTGCGTTATATGATCCATAAAGTGGATGATACAATAGGAAAACAAAACATTTTCTAGATCGAAAGTATGTGTCTGAAATATTCATCTGCGAATATTATATTTTGCGCTTGCTCTTTCCTATGCTGTATACATATGCCCAACCGATCTTAATCGATAGACCTGGCATAATATAGCATGAGAGAAGCGAAATTATATCGATTAGCTCGAAAGAAATGAGAAAAATAAATTATCCTGTGTTCAAAGGAAAATATATCAAGTTGTCATGTAAACAATCAAAATTTTATAGAGAGCAATTTCAAATATCTACATATTTGATAATAATTACTCTCTCTCTCTCTCTCTCTCTCTCTCTCTCTCTCTCTCTCTCTCTACTCTCGAAGCGATGATTGTTTCGGAGAACAAGAAGCAACGAAAGAAAAACTCATGCCGCGCAACTTCTCCCAACCGATCACGCGCGAACTTAGAACGAAACCCTTTGTGTATAGGATCCTCTCCGATCGAGGGAAATCAAAAACCGCGCACCTACGAAACTATGTTGATACGAGGAACAGAACTTGATCTCGATGCACCCACTCGACTGCTGCAAGTTCTCCGTTACGTCGGAATCGAGTGTTCGCGTTCGTCGGTGTAAAGCGCGAAGGGCACGCCGAAGACAACAACGTAGACCCCGCACGACACAGCCGCGACACCGGACCTTAGCGCGACGACATCCCGAAAGCCCCTTCAGCAACGTCGCGGCTACTGCTGCTGAATGCTGGCTGATGGTGCTGGCTGGTGGTGCCGGTGCTACTGCTCGACACCGCGTATATACTGCACGATGAACACGGACACGCGCGCTTGACTCTGCGCGAGCGCAATGCCGGCGACGATTCCGGCAGTAGGGGGTTGTTTGATGCCTGCCTCCTTCGGAAGATACTTTTACCGATGACTCGATGTCTCGTCTATGCGTATCAATGCGCGTGACAATTGCTGCCAGCCTATCTTGTAATCAGTTTTGTCAGAGTTGATGTAATTGTGCCAGATATGAATATATATATCTGACTATAAAGAACACGCTGGTTGGAAAAAGTCGCAAGTTTGATAACATTTCGATAGTTGAGAAATTATTGTGTTATCGCGTTCAAAATATAAAGATTTTTTCTTTTATTTTTTTTGTATCCTAATAGAGGATACTTACCAAGTAATAATTTAAAATTAATATGAAAATTATAAACAAAATATATCATGATTAATTAAATGACTTATTGTTAGCGATCGTTTAAAAAGCAAAGATTTCATAATCATATGTGCTATCATTATTAATTTCCTGCATGTACCTTTTTAATAGTGACAACCATTTTAATCTCGGTTACGAAAAAGATCCAATGGAGAATATAATGACGGAACAAGAATAATTCCTTCTGAATATTAATGACGATAAAAAAATCTTAATTTATTCATATATATACATGTCGGTATGAATAACCAAGCTATTGATTATTATCACAGCTGCGAGATGAATACAATAGATTTATCTAGTAAAGAGAATAATGAAAATTTTCACACAAAATTCTATCAAGGGTGAATAGAATTGTATAAAAATATCTGTGTCGTAAAATATTATATTATTCGCGCGTATAAAGTAGAAAGGGTACGGGTTACATTCCTCTCTGCTGTCAGGTTCCAAAAAATATATTATCCTCCGACTCCAAAAAGTCATCATTTCCTAGTAACTTTCATCGTTTTTTCCGGGGGCGTTAAATAAACGAAGATACGAAAAGCGAAGGTGAAGACGCTCAAGGCAAAAGCGCCGGGACGGGTATCGGTAAAGAACAGCGGGGAAGAATTTCGAGAAACGAAAACATCTGACGAGAACCGGGGTAGCGGCAAGTCGTTCGCCGTGTCTAAAACCAACGAGATCAAACGCATTCACGCAGCCCGGATTCGTTTGACGTCCATCGTCTGGAAAACGGGGGAGGAGGGGGATGACTGCCGCGGAATCCGCGTCTTGACGTCCCCTCGGTACGGTACCGGGTTGCTGCAATATCTCTCCCGGGCGTGTAACATACAGGATAACGGTGGCTGTGCAACATTGTTGAACGCACGCTCTGTTTACGCGCGCCCATGTCGACGATACCCCGTCGTTCCCTTCCCATCCCGGATCGAGCGTTACTCAGTCGTGAGGAATTCTTTGATACCTACCTACCTCCCGGGGAAACATTTCACCAACCATCGTTCGCGAGATTCCGCGAGATACCTCTGGGACATGTATATGTGTATGTTACATATAACTAGTGCGCTAAAACGTGCGTTTACTGCATTCGAAGCTCTTTACTGTAAACAAATTCAATAAACACATGTGTGTATCACAATCCAATGTATAACACACATGGTGAGATTACTGTTATTTATATAATGACAAAAGTGCAACAAGAATAATAATACATACGATCGCTTATATTATTTTGCAATCAGAATAATTTTATCGCCTGAAATCGTAAACCAGGATTCCGTAAAACTCGATTCTTTTCCTAAAATATATTAAATTAAATCGTAAAAATTGAATAATAACAGATTATGTTTATGAGGTCGTATGTATATTAACATATTTCCTATCAATGTGGCAGCATGTTAAACGCGTAGATAAGCTCTCTCAAGCGTTCTCGAATGCGCAATCCCGCTCGGAAGAAATATATTTTGTTCGTAAGAAAGAACAGAATTACAAGAAGTGTAAATTTCAAGAAGCAACGATTATCGTCCGAGTTGAAAGCGAGTCGCGATCGAAGACGATTGTCGCCAGCAGTTCTGACTTCTCGTATACGAAATGTGCGGGTCTATCTCGACGGTCAGTGGCACTCTATTTACCAAGGATTTCCCTCAACGGTGCTATACTCGGGGAAAAGGAATTTGTGTCGTACCCGCAGAATGACTCGACACGTAGCAACCGTTCCGTATACGATGGCGGATTTATTCTCCACACACAGGGGATCTTCTTGCGTTTAAGAAAGTTTAGGTGAACGCACGCGTCGCAATAATGCGGATCTACTCACAAATTGAACACCTAAATTCGACAAAATGTTTTCTCTCTCTCTCTCTCTCTCTCTCTCTCTCTCTCGCACGCGCGCGGTTGTACAATAATATAAATTTATACTTTTATATTTTGGCACTATTGAAATCTTGCTAGATCCTCCCTTTCATATTTGCAAAATTTATTTTTAGTTTTAGTCCCCGTTCATTTTTAATTTTTAATAATTTAAAATTTATTAATTTTTTAAT